AATCCGAGGGGGGATGGCCCGATTCTGCCCGCCCCGCGGGGGGACCCTCCCTCGCCCTTCCGACACCTCGGACCCGGTTTACCCGGGAAAACCCGAGGCGCGGAAAGGGCCCGCACCTTATGGGGCTGGAGGGGAGGGCTGATCCTCTCCCCCCCACTACCCTTAGGGCGCTTTTCCGCCAGAGTCCGCGAGGACTGGGCCCTCGTGATCCTGGCTCCCTCGCGTGGGCCGACCCCGCTAGGGCCCGGCTCCGGGGATTTCGCGCGCGAAATTTTCTCCATACCCCTGATGTCCGTGAAGACCACCCGCGGAACACGCGGGGAGGCCCCACCGGGCACCGGAGGAGGAGTCACCACCCTCTTGTCGCGGGGACCCGGGGGCGCAGGGGGGACCGGAGGACAAAGCTCCGATCCCGCCCTGTGCTTCGCCTCCTTCCCCGCCCTCGTGCAAATTGGGCATCGGGGGGGACGCTGACATGTCCCCCCTTGTGCCCCTTTTCTCCGCAGTTATAGCAGCAGAGGGTCCTGTCCTCTGTGGACGGGCACCTCTGCTGCACATGTCCTCGTGCGAAGCAGCGGTAGCAGCGGATGGGCCTACTTTTCAGCAGGCTCACCCGCACCTGAGTCCATCCCATCTTCACGACCCTGGCCTCCGCTGCCTTTACCGCCGCACGCGCCAGGCATTGGGCCCAGACGGTTCTCACACCCCTAGTAGTCGGATTTAATGGCCCGATTCGGATCTCCGGCTTGGAGTATCCGCCCATGCTAACTATCGCATTGCGGATCTCCTCCCCGGAGACCGACTCCTCGACCCCCGTCAACAGGAGGTCGAGTCTCTTAGAGGGGTGTGAGACCTTCACCCCCTCATACCCTTCGAGGGCTACCTTCATTGCGGAAACCAGGCGACTCGCCTTGACCTCCGCCTCTGGACCTCCAGGGATCTCCAAAAGGAGGCCCCCGTTGAAGGCCCTCCGTGCCCTCACACTGGTAACCTGGGCTACCTCCTCC